CTCGTTCCTTCCTTCCTTTTCCAGCTGACTGACAGCTGCTTTGTTTATGGCCACAGCTCCTGAGGAGTGCTGAGAGCTGGGAGGAAACAGGGGAATGTTGCACCCCCTGCAGGATCCCGAAAATCAGTGACGCAGGGCAGGTGCTGGGAGGAGCTGCAGGGTGCAATGCTGGCAGCCGAGCTCCACTTCTGGTAGCACGATGGACTGCGCCTCTGAGAAGGCGACTGCAATCACAGTGAGCAGTGGCAGCAGGCACACCAGGTTTGCAGCACTGCCTTCCTCTTGTCTCTCTCCACTTTCAGATTCTCGATCCAGCCCACAGAGCCAAAAGCACAGAATCACAGAATCACAAGGTTGGAAACGACCTGCAAGATCATCCAGTCCAACCCCTCTCCCATTCCTATCAGTACCACAAGCACTAACCCACATCTTGTAGCTCCTCATCCAGGCGCCTCTTGAACGCTGCCAGGGACGACGACTCCACCACCTCCCTGGGCAGCCATTCCAGTGCCTGACCACCCTCTGAGAGAAAAAGTTTCTCCTCATGTCCAACCTAAACCTCCTCTGGTACAACTTGGGGTTGTACCTCCTCAAGCCTGGGAGAAGAGGCCAGACCCTTTTACACCACAGCCTCCCTTCAGGAAGTTGTAGAGTGCAATGAGGCCTCCCCTGAGCTCCTCTTCTGCAGACTGAACAATCCCAGCTCCCTCAGCCACTGTTCATAAGGCTTGTGTTCCAGACCCCTCACCAGCTTTGTTGCTCTCCTTTGAACACGTTCCAGGGCCTTGTTGTCTTTCTTGCAGTGAGGGGCCCAAAACTGAACACAGCACTCGAGGTGCGGCCTCACCAGAGCTGAGTACAAGGGGACGATCACCTCCATGCTCCTGCTGGCCACACTATTTCTAATGCAGGCCAGGATGCCGCTGGCCCTCTTGGCCACCTAGGCACGCTGCTGGCTCATGTTCAGCTGAGCACCAACCAACACCTCCAGGTCCCTTTCCTCTCCACACTCACAACCACTCATCCCCAAACCTTTGTGCTGCATGGGGTTGTTGTGCCCAAATGCAGGACCTGGCACTTGGCCTTGTTAAACCTCATCCCATTCACCTCGGCCCAGCGATCCAGCTTATCTAGATCCCTCTGCAGGGCCTCCCTGCCCTCAGGCAGATCCACACCACCTCCCAACTTGGTGCCATCTGCAAACTTACTCAGGGTACACTCAATCCCTTCATCTAAGTCATCAGTGAAGATATTAAATAAGATGGGCCCTAGCACCGACCCCTGGGGGACACCACTTGAAACAGGTCTCCAGCTAGACTTCACTCCATTGACCACCACCAGTTGAGCACGGCCCTCCAGCCAGTTCCTTATCCAACGGAGGGTAAAACTGTCCAAGCCACAGGCAGCCAGTTTCTGCAGCAGGATACTGTGAGAGACCGTGTCAAAGGCTGTGCTGAAGTCTAGGTAGACGACATCAGCAGCCTTTCCCTCATCTACCAGTCTGGTCACCCAGTCGTAGAAGGAGATGAGGTTGGTCAAACACGACCTGCCTTTCATGAGCCCATGCTGGCTGGGCCTGATCCCATGGACGTCGCGCACGAGCTGTGTGATCTCTCCCAGGAGGATTTGTTCCATGACCTTCCCTGGCACTGATGTCAGGCTGACAGGCCTGTAGTTTCCCGGATCCTCCTTACGGCCCTTCTTGTAGATGGGAGTCACATCAGCAAGCCTCCAATCCTCTGGAACCTCTCCAGTCAACCAGGAGTGCTGGCAGATAGCCGAGAACGGCTTAGCAATCACCCCTGCCAACTCCCTCAGCACCCTAGGATGAAGCCCATCCGGTCCCATGGCCTTGTGACTGTCCAGATGGAGGAGGAGCTCCCTAACGGCCTCCACCTCAATCTCCGGGGAGACATGCTGCGTGTCAGCCCAGATATCCAGATCAGGGCACAAAGTGCCCTGAAGATAACAGGTCTGACTATTAAAGGCAGATGTAAAGAAGGCGTTGAGGACCTCAGCCTTCTCCTTGTCATCTGTGGTCACATTCCCCGCCGCATCAATTAAAGGATAGAGATTATCCTTGTTTTTTCTCTTGCCATTGATATATTTGTAAAAGGATTTCTTATTCTCCTTTACTGCAGTGGCCAATCTAAAAGGAAAGGAAGAAAATGTGCTAGTAGTTCTTGCTTGGTTCCTATTGCAGAGCAAATGGTTGCCTACTGGTCAGAGCAGGACGGTGCCTGCTGTCTGCTGAACCTTATGCGGGAGCGCTGGTGCTTTTGCATCATGCACTCCCACCCTTGTCCCCTGTCCTGTAGGGCACCCACAGCCTTTGGGCACCCTGGGCCAGGGCCTCGCTGCCTTTGGGAGAGGAATTTCCTCTGCACAACTACCTCAGTTTGCACTCTTTGAGTTTAAAGCCATTCCCACTCGTATGATCGTCGTCTGCCAAGTGGCACACAAGGTCTGGCAGCGGGTCAGGTAATGACACAGCAGCACGTGGACAGCTGTGGTGTTATGTTGTTTATTGGTAATCTCAGGTACATGACAGCAGCGGTTCTGCGGATGTCCGACGGTGTCCCAAACCCGCATGCTGGGGGTGCTCTCACCTCCCGATGGAGAGTGGAGGGGAGCGGAAGGGCAGATGTAGTGCTGGGGGGTGCTGGGGGCTGCTGGCCCAGGTCTGTTTCCCCCTGGCAGTGGTCTTCCACTTATCTAATGAAGCCCCTGAGCTGACACCCCGGGGGGGCCACTCCCACCGCCGGAAAGACGCTTGAGGGGAGGGAGAGGATGGTGCTCGGGGCGGCTGTGGGCTGCTGAACTGCTCACGCTTCCCCCAGGCCACAGTTGTTGATCTTCTGGATAATTCCCCCAGGCCAAGACCCTGGGGGGGCTGCTCCCACCTCCTAAAGGATGGTGGAGAGGAGGGGGAGGGCAGCGGGGAGGCCTGGGGGGGCCACTCCCGTCCCCTGAAGGATCGCGGAGGGGAACGGGAGGCTGGTGACGGCACCCGGGGAGGCCGGGGGCTGCTGGGCCGGTCCTGCTTCCCCCTGGCAGCGGCTGTCCTGTCGGACAGTTTCCCTGAGTCGGCACTCTGCGCGGATCGCTTCCATTCCCTGACAGGTGATGGAGGGAACGGGGATGGCAGAGGTGGCGCTGGGGGGGGCTGGGGGCTGCCGGGCCTGGTCTGTTTCCCCCTGGCAGTGGTTTTCCAGGGGTATGGTGATGCCCCCGAGCTGAGAACCTGGGGGCGCTGCTCCCACCTCCTAAAGGATGATGGAGAGGAGGAGGGGGGCAGAGGTGGTGCCGGGGGGGGCTGGGGGCTGCTGAGTCTCTCAGGCTCCCCTGAGGCAGTGGTTATCCATGTGCTGGATGATGCCCCCAAGCCGACATGCTGAGGAGACCGCTCCCGTTCCCTGAAGGATGGTGGTGGGGGACGGGGGGGTGGCGTTGATGCCCGCTGCGGCCGGGGACTGCTGGGCCTGTC